CCTGCATCTTGTTCCTGGCTCCAACGAAGTTTGTCCCATTATCGGAATACAGGTCTTGACATTTTCCTCTCCTAGCAATGAAACGTCGTAGAGCTTGCAAGAATCGGTCTGTGCTCAAGTCCGTCACCAGTTCTAGATGAACCGCTTTGATACAAAGACAAACGAAAACTGCAACATATACCTTGACTACCGGTTGTCGGGGAACAGGTATTACATAAAACGGACCGAAGTAGTCTACACCGGTCTGCGAAAATGGCCTAGACACGGTGACTCTTGGCGCTGGCAGCTCCCCCATGAACTGCTGAATTGGTGTAGGTTTTGCCCGAAAACATTTCAAGCATTGGTGAACAATGTTTCTTGCAACGCTTCGTCCACCCAATGGCCAGAATCGTAGGCGAACTACTCCGAGTAATAATTGCGGACTAGCATGCATCAGCTGCAGATGATAATGTTGGAGGACCATTCGGGTGAACTTATGCCGTGCAGGAAGCACCATCGGATGTTTCGTATCCTCTCGCTCTACAGAATGACCAAGTCGCCCTCCAATTCTAATGACGTTATCGTCGGAAATGTATGGATTAAACCATCGAACTCAGCTTCCCCTTTGGCAAGTGCCTTCCACTCGTCGATGAAAACCTCCTGTTAAACACGACGCACTATATCATATTCCGCCTGCTGAATTTCCTGGGTGGACAAGAACTCTGCTGGCATCCTTTCTTGTGGATCGGTCTGCAGCAACCGCATTAATTTCAGCCAAATTGCTGTTTTCCGAACGAGATCCGTGTACGACGTAAACTTCTTCAGGTACCAATCGTTGAACTCCGTGTTCACCGACAGTGCACAAGCAACCGTTCGTCGTTTCTCTTGCTCTGCCTCCTCCAATGGAAATTCTTTGGGAGAAACAGGCCAGTAATCAGGACCTTTCTTTAACCAATCTGGTCCCTCCCACCAGAAAGTATTATTGGTAATATCCCTCGGAGAAATCCCTCTGGAAATCAAATCCGCTGTGTTTTCCTTTCCTGGGACGTGCCGCCACTGAGTTGGTTCAGTAATGTCTTGGATTTTCGCGACCCGATTCGCGATGTAAGTGGTCCAGATGTTTGGAGAAGCTTGTATTCACCGCAGAACACAAGTTGAATCAGTCCAGAAATATGTTTGAGCAGGAATTCTAATAGAGTCTCGAACCCTTTCATACAGCTGCGCGGTTAGTAGAGCGCCACTCAGCTCCAATCTTGGGATAGACTGTGTTTTCAACGGTGCTACCTTGGATTTGGACGAAAGCAGTCGAACCATGAATCTCCCTTCTGAATCCTGACTTCTTATAGACACATCCGCCATATGCTTTGTTCGAAGCATCGGAAAAGCAATGAATCTCGATCAATGTTGCTTCTGGAACAATGACGCAACGATCAATACGAATGCTGTTGAACAGAGGAAGCTCGTCGTAGTATTTCTTCCACATCTCACCCACCGTCAAAGGCAGTGGCTTGTCCCAATCTAATGCTTGGTCATCGTCGTTCCGAATCCTCCACAGAAGCTGCATAATGACCTTGGCTGTAGTAATTGCAGCACCGAGTAGTCCTAGAGGATCGAATAAACTGGCGATCACCGACAGAACTTCCCTTTTGGTTGGTTGGTGTGATGCATTCCAACCTGGAATGGTAAATTGAAACTTCAGTTGATCGGAAGTAGGCATCCAAGTCAACCCTAGAGTTTTTACAACCGGGTCAGGGTCCAGATTAATCCCTTCCGAAACTCGAATAGCCAGATTGTCCTCGGAAACGCTTTCCAATGCTGCTTGATGGTTTGGTGCCCATTTCCGAAGCTTGAAACCTCCTTTGGAAGTCATCTCGTTGAGTTGCTTGCATAGCTCCCTTGCGTTTTCGACCGTATCCGCTCCTGTGATAACGTCATCCATATACGTATCCTCTGTGGTTGCCCTTGCAGCCATTGGTACTGTTCTTCTTCATCCATCGCAAGCTGGTTTAATGTACGCGTTGCCAGAAAGGGCGCAGGTTTCGTTCCATACGTGACAGTGTTGAGTTTGTACACGCCTACCGGTTCCGACGGATCGAAGCGCCATAGAATGCATAGGAGTGGCCTATCCACCTTGTAAGTAGCGGCTAGCTCGAACCGGGTACTCTTGCCTCTATCTCAAGGTCGGCTTCCTGTTCGGTGGACTCACAACCCACTTAATAATCGAAGGGGACAACAACAACACAGTCGGTCTACATGCAGGGACTTCCTATTGAGGGATAGTGGCACAAACACAACAAATTAACTCAATTACATTTTTTTTTTTTTTTTTCTTTAAAGTTACATTTTGTGAAAGGGGGTTCGTTGCGGCCATTGCATGCATGCTGAGAGAGAGAGAGAGTGTGTGTGGTTCGTGGTTACCTTAGGTACTGTTGGGCTTCAGGACTTTGGGACGGGGAACTGGTCCGATGCTTCCACTGCGGTCGACGTTCCTCGTGCTCGCTGCCGGGGCGGTAGCTCATCGGATATTGGGAACTAGCAAGCGGGGGCGAACCCACCTGACCTCGCTAGACCCTCACCTCCAAGGCTTCGGCTACCACTCACCCGGCGCGTGTGGTACGACAATGGCACGACGCTCGTCCACCACCAGCACGGGACGCGCCGATTTCTCGTTCCTCCCTTGTCTCCACAGCGGATCGACTTCGTGGTTAGGGGCTGGTTCAACTCCACGTGGTTTCCGTACCTTCGGTCCGACGTCCCTAGTGCTCGCTAACGGGGCGGTAACGTATCGGATATTGAGTCCGACCAGCGGGGGCGAACCCACACGGACCTGGCCAAACCCTCACCTCCAGAACGTTTGTTACCACTCACCCGTAGCGTGTGGTGCGGCAATGGCACAACGCTCGTCAGCCACCAGCACTGGGCTCGCCGAACAACCGTCGACAATCACTACACCGGGGATCCACTCAACAGGTATGGTTCGATGATGTCCGTAACACACGTCTCGTATAACACGTCTCGAACTGAGAGACCCCGGGCTGACCAATCACTCGCGGGGGAACCACTTTTCGAAGAAACCGTACTTCCAGTCACTTCTCTTCCTTCTGCTTCAGTCCTTTTTTTTTAATCGTTTTCCTTGTGATCCGTGTTCTGTGGTGGTTGGAAACTGTCTCCTCGTTTTTTCAGCAACTAGCTCTCGTCTCCCTTTTTGTGTTTCACCCTCTCTCTCCCTCAATCTACTCTTCTTCCTTCTCTCTCTCTCTCTTGTCCGGATATTTATATGCCAAAATAAACTGACAGGTCAATTTTGCCTGCTGATGTGTAGGCAGAGATGTAAGCCGTCTTTATGGGGTGTTTGTACCTAGTTTTGTTTCCTTTTCTTTTTACTTTAATTTTAACTCCTAATCTAATGTGCCACTAGTTTAATTTATTAATAACTAATCTAATATAATTATTTTATTTTATTGAGTTGACTATGTCCACCTGGATGTAGCATTTGACTGCAAGGAAATGTTACCAGTGTATTGGTAACAACCTGTAGAACAAAGATTTGCCGGAACACCTTCTCTACATCGGCTACCAGCATGATTATCTTGACGCGGCTCCGGAGCATGATAGATCGTAGGTCCTCCTGTACAATCGGTCCTACCAGCAGAGCGTCATTGAGCGAAACGCCGGACGACGTCTTGCATGACGCGTAGAATACCACACGGACTTTAGTTGTGGTACTGGCCTCCTTAATTACCGGATGATGTGGCAGATAGCATCGTTTTTCGAGATCATCCGTTTCCTCTATCTTCGTCATATGCCCTAATCGGATGTATTCCTCCATGAACTGATGGTACTGTTCTCGCAGACCAACATCCCTCGCCAATCTACGTTCTGTGCCTTGAAGCCGCCGGAATGCGATGTCCCGTGACTCGCCCAACCTGGAAATTGCGTCTTCATCTTTTGGCAACGAAACGGAGTATCGACCGTCGGATTCCCTACCAACCGACTTCCGGAAAATGTCCTCACATTTACTTTCCTCCAACGAAAGAACCTTGGAACTTCCAATCTCTTCACTAGCCCAAAACCGTGCGACTAGCTCCTCTAATCCTTGTGTAGTTGCCGTACTACAATTGATGCTTAAGCCTTGACTTGGATTTGTCAGGCCTCCGCAGACCACCCAACCGAACACTGATTCGTTTAGTGTTGGCAGATAGCAGATCTCCGAGGGGAATTCTTCGACCAGTTTCGAAGAAATCGAAAAAGAATTCGATGCCCAACACCATGTCCACTGAGCTTGGATTGAAAAAGGTGGGATCTGCCAGGATGATCCCGTTAGGCACCGTCCAGCCTTGTGTATTCACCTTCGCCGTAGGTATATTTACCGTAACCTTTGGGAGCACGAGGAAATTCATGTTCTGCGAGAAAGCCGTAGCTCGCGAACGAACCATCGCGGTAATCTGGTACTTAACCTTTGTAGCCGCGTGACCAATACCGTGCACAGAAATATCTACTTTCTCTCGATGTGTCCTGAGCCGTTGACTCAACCGTTCAGCGATGAAATTACTCTCGGAGCCGGAATCCAACAGAGCACGTACCGGGAACTGACTACCCTCATCATCTTCCACGATAACGACCGCAGTAGCCAGCAAAACCTTGGAGGAGAACTGTTGAGTGGACCCAGAGACTGTTATTTCGATGGCTGCCATGTTGACCACCTGGGAGGATGTAGAAGTGGATGGACCACCAGATTCCGTTTGAGGAAGAGAAATGTTGTTTCCAGCAACAGCAGCGACCTTCGCCGGTCCATCCTTCTGCGACTTGAAGCATACCAATGTATGATGACGACCCTTGCAACTACGACAGAAGTATTTTGACGGACAATCCTTTGCCAGATGGCCCGATCTGAAGCAGTTCCTGCATAGGGAGTTCGCCCTCAGCACTGCATCTCTTTCTCGCACCGACAACCGTTGGAAGGATGAACACTGGTAGAGTGGATGGTTCTCCTTCAATACCGCACATCGTCCCCCAGACGATTACACAGAACCGTAGCTGGCCTTCACAACAGACGATTTCTGTCTCAACGGTTGTTGTACTTGATAAGAAGTCTTGGAATCCGAAGCCTTCGTTGGTAATGACTCCAGAATCCGGATCCTACGATGTAAGAAATCCGAGAGATCTTCTAACGTGTCTTGATCCTTGGTCGAGGAATGTTCCTCCCAACCTCGGCGCGTTACCGGATCCAGCCGGTTTGTGAGCAGATTTACGAGCAACAGGTCCTTGTAACCCTCAGCCTTGATCACCTGGTCCAAATTCTGCACCACTCTCTCGAAACCATCAGTCAGAGTATGCAGATTCGTTACCGATTCCTTGGATAATGTTGGCAAATTGAATAAAGCTTGTACCTGTCGCTTTTTCAATTGCTTGCTGTTGTCATAACGCTTCAACAGCATGTCCCACGCAATTTGGTAGTTGTTCTTCGTAATCTTCAATGAATCAATCAGGCACTTTGGTTCTCCCTGCAGGCATCCCTTGAGATAGTGGAACTTTTCCACTTCCGGCAAGTCCGTCTTCCGATGTATAAGTGAAGTGAACAGATCACGGAAGCTGATCCACTCATCGATGTCCCCGTTGAAAACTTGTAGCTTAATTTGAGGCAAACGCACATGATCAAGGGTACCATGGCCGTGTGTCAACGACTCATTTGCTCGTATGGATTGTTCAACTTCCTCCGGATCCTGCAGTTCCTTGGCCCTATCCATCAAGAACGCCTTACAATAGTAGTACTTATCACTATACGCTAACCTAGCCTTATCGAACTCCTGATCCTCATCCTCAAAGTCATCATGAGCTTGAACATCGATTAGAATCTCTCCATACCTTTCCCACAACTCATCGATCCTATTCAAGCGAAGTTTGACCGATTGACTTGCTGTAGTTGTCGACGGGTAACCGTCCACGAATCTCCAGATGTCGTCCAAAGATGTCTGGATGTTCTTAAGCTGGACCATCAACAGCTTGAACGCTGGCGGCTTCTTGTCGCGGGTCGGCATTGTTGATATGCGTCACTCAAACCGGTAAATAGAAGAATTGGGTGGTGTAGAGATCCGATAGTCCAAGGCTTCGGCTGGCATACACTGTTGAAGCCTACCTGAGAGAACAGAACGATATACTGCGACCTGCTACACCTAATCCAGTAAATTGTAGAGTCTCTGATTACAGTGACGTCACACCGATTGTTGCAGCTTAGCTCGTAATCGTTCGATTGATGAGGAAAGAGGAGGAAAGAACCAACTGTAGTATCCAAAACCTGGCTTCGGCGGACATATACTGTTGTAGCTCACCTATGAGAACAAACAGCAACTGTTTACTCGATTCCAAACAGCTCGCTGTGTCCGATTTACAAAGCGAAAGTCCACTCGTTCAACTTGTCAGCAAAACAGTTCAGATTGGGATCCAAAGAAGAGGAAGGAATGCATGTAGTATCCAAAGTAAAGCTTCGGCAGAACATATACTGTTCAAACTAACCCGTGGAACCAGTAACGGCACCAATCCAATCCAAAAACGACCAGAAAAAACGTCCAAAAGCGTCTAAAATTCACAGCAGAATGAGTCAATTGTTCTGATAACTAACAGTTTTTGCTCAGGGATTGCGTTGTAAATGATTTGAAGAGGATTCGAAATTCATTTAAAAAGCGTATATTATCTGAGGTCCCGCTTCGGAGACATATACATTCTTGTCACTCACCACAGAGAAAATGAATCGATGCCGCCTCTTCTTGCCACGCTCCAAATCGTCTCCTCGAAGATGGCCGTGATGCTCCTCAATCAAATGGAATAAGGATGGCGTCTGTCTTCGTAGTTCTACCAGTTCCAGTTCCAGGAATGCAGGTCGAGATGACAAACCAACAACTCGTCTTCGAACAGCGTCTTTCCGTCTCGGTGGATATTATAGGATGGATGCAAAGAAATACGTCGAAATGTGGGCGTTAGTATCGCGTAAACACTTGCAAAGGCTGGGCATATACTGATCTAAATATATTTACCTGGAGAAGTAAATCCGGTGCTGGATCAGTTGTCCAAACCTACGAACGATCCAACGATCCTATGTAATTCCATACGTCGAGATCGATTACCGATGTCCAACACTCCTGGCATACGCCTGCAAATCCTCAAAGCAGGGCAGTCCAACCGAATAATCAAATAGATTGCAGAAAAAACGTGTGTTAGGATGGCGCAATTCCCTAGCATCGAATGGACATATAGTTTTTTTGTTCCAACTCACCTGTGGGAACAATCCAACCGATGGATGCCCAAAACGAAGCCACGCTGTCCTCTTGAATAGTGAGGGATCCCTTATCCTTGGATGTCCTTTGTGCCGAAATGTTGTGATGGCGCGGTGTTAATTATCTTCCTGTGTGATGGCCGTAAAACTGTTGTTCACGGAAGATATGGCGATTTCCCATTCAACGCCGTCCGCGATGGCGTCAATCCAAGCCTGCCTCAGGCTACCGTACGGGTCTGAATCAGCCCAACTGATGCTGTCCGTTCCAAATCTCCGTAGTCCAACCAATCCGGTTCGAAGGACCATAAATGTTGGGGAACCGAATTACCTCCGCCTTCGATGTCGACCAGTGCTCCCCAACACTCGCCGGTGAAATTAGGGAAAACAAAGGGCCAGCTATTCCCGGTGCTGGGTAAATATCTCCCTTGTTCTCCGTGGAAGAGCTTCTTCTATTTTAACACCAATTAACATACACTCCGATTTACTACAACAGGTTTACAAGCACTACATTTATTAAAAACAACTAATTAAAACACATTTATTCTTCACGGGAACAAATCTAAAATCCGAAATGAGATAAATGACTCATGATTTCATGAACATAGCGTATTTTCATGTTATGAAAATACACCATGAATAATATTCATGATATCATGAGCTATGTTTGCGTAACGCACCCATGATTCCGGAAATCACGAATCATCCGAGTTAAAATCATGAACTAAATTCATGAGTTTAACTTTTAGTTTTAAAACCAAAACATGTAAAAAAATAAAATAAAACATCAAACTGGATTCGAACCAAGAACCTTACGATCACTAAACCCATACTTTGACCACTAGACTATCAATACTTGTATCAGAAGGAAGGCAAAAGGCGTATAAGAGATACCTATGTAGTGCAGTGAACACGGTTTTTCAGTTAACGCTTGAAGCGGTCATGATTCCGCTGCATTATGAAATCATGAATTTCCATAACGAAATCATGAATCATTGTTATGATTTCAAGGGTTGGCAAGTTTTTTGATTTCATGATTTTTTGTTCATGATAATGGAATCGGATTTTTTCCCGTGTTAAACTCTAACATTGTTTTTCTTATTCCTAACACACAAAACAGATTAAAATTGCCCGCGCGCAGACTCCACACACGGTCGGTGGCCTGTAGATTTCTACTGCAAAAAATATCCACTGGTCATCTTCTAACCACGATCGCCACTCATGCGATGTTTTCGCTCGGGTCCATGAGAGTGACCGCTCCTGTTCTCGCTCCTGAATTGCTCACCACTGCAGCCTATATACAAGCGAAACGATCTAATCCCTCTCGCCTGGCTTGATCGATGACCATCTCTCCTCTGCTCGGTGTGTAGATGGGAACACAATAAGCGATGCTGCAAACTCGTTGGAAGTAGGTCACAATTGTGCATAGCCAGTATGAGGATGTAGCAAGGTTGGGCTGATGTTAGTCTCAAACACTTTCACTTAAAGAGATGTTTTTGCTTGCCTGCACAATATATAACAACGCAATCCACACTTCCACCAACCTAAAACCACGTGAAGCGTTTTTTGGAATAAAGGATGGGGAGGACAGACCTCTCAACAGAGAACAACTGTTTCTAGCCCGAGATAAGCTCTACGATGAAATTTTATTGACAAATACTAAAACGCAGATCAACCAGCACACCTATCATAATGCCAACAGGGAAACACTACCCGCACTTGAAATAGGACAACCAGCTTTCGTAAAAAGTCAAGGCATAAAAGCTAAACGCAGACAACGGTTTGAACCGACAAACATACAGAATGACAAAGTTCAAACATTCTACGACGAAAATGAAAGAAAATTTCATAAAAACAAAATGCATCGCATAAGAAAATAGACACAGGGTCTCACCCGAAATCGCTCCGATTCCGGCCCTTCAAAGGAGGAAACAAGAGCAAAGCCAAAGCTTAAATATTTGAACTTGCCGCAGCAGCCGCTGTGCGGAACAATATGAAAAAGAGTTCCGTAGAAGCCCTAGTGAATCTCAGAGATGAGAATCAGGACGAGTTTGAGTGGAACACCCACTCTTAGAATGTCAAAACCAGCAGTTGTAAGACCTTGACAAACTTTCTCGTAAATAGTTGTCTTAAATCAATAATCTATATTATTCAAACCATACTAATAATGCATTCCTTTTAGGAAAACCAACGAAGAGAGAGGAAGAAAAATCCAACTTGGCGTCGCGATGGCACTACGCATCACAGTATGTATCGACATTTTATCCTTCCTTTCAAAATCCCATGTCCACACCCAATCCATAAAAAATTCAAATTTAAATCCAAACCCTGGTTTTATCAAACTCCAAGAGGGATTTAGCTTTTTGAAGATAGGAGAACACAAACTCTTCCATACGATCAACTTAGATAATTACAACCCTATTTTCAGGAAGCTACGGATACATATTAACGGAATTAACTCTTTTGGCAACTTTACCGAAATTACGGACCTCCTAAGCACAAAACTAAGCAAAACCTTGCAACTATTCACTAGCTACAGCCTAGATTTAGAGCCAAGCGAGGACTGTTCAATTTTGTAGGGAAGCTATCACTGGCAACCTTGATGAAAATGATTCAATTGAAATTTCAAAAAGTATTCAAGATTTATCTTTAAACAATAAAATTCTTATAAACGAAAATAATGAGCAAAGGAAAATAAATTTTCAATTTCAAGGCAGAATAAACAAAATAATCAATCAATTAACAAGAGACACAAATTAGTCAAAACTTAATACTAGCTAGAAATAATAACGCAGGAAAAAACATTACTGTTTTTAAGGAAATTTTTAAAATACACTTCAACCTAGTTTAAAAGGATCATTTAGAAGATATTCTCGAGTCAATTAAATTAGCAAAAATAGGAATTCTGTCAAAAAACATTTCGTAACACCAAGAATTAGATTTTGCAGCTAAGAAATTTGAAGAGAAGGGAGTTGTACTCACCAGTCTCGAAGAAACATATGATTATTTGGATTTATCAGCTTTTCATAATAATTCGAAGATAATTTTTGTTATTTTGATCCCTCTGATAGAGGATTATGTTAATGAAAAATACTATCTAGAACCATTACCATTAGGTATGAGGAACGAAAAGACTACTTTCATCATCAACAACAAATGCAAACGTATATAGAATTAGCTTTGTGCACCCGGGACAACGTACGAAATATAATAGATAAATGTCTACCAAACCTACTTCAAGGACATTCCGCAAATTGCTCTTTTGAAAATTGCAAGAACCCTACAGAAATTAAACTGATCACAGGAAATTTGCTAGTACTAAAGGAAGTCCAATAATTGGAAATTAAATCCACCTGTGGAATCACGAGCAGGAACCTAACGGGATCATATCTCATTGAAATTCACAATTGTTCACTGAGCACAAACGGATCAACATTTGAGAATGCCGAATTTTTCCAAGCCGAGCCTCCAATAATGTTACCTTTGGATGGTCTCATAATTGCAGAATTTCACTAATCATCATGAAATTCGAACCATCACATCCCTAATCTAGAGATGAACTAGCCTAAGGCTAAAAATCTCTTAAATAAAGAATTTAAAAAAAAACATCACATCCCTAACCATGTCAATCATAAGCATCATGATTACCGTCATTATCATGCCATACGTAGCTAGGGAAAAACTCAGCCGGAAGCTCAACAGTGTTGCTACACAACAACCGTTAGATGCATCCACTATCCTCTACAAAAAAAACCGACGATCATTCAACCT